TCAGAGCTCAAGTGCTCAGGGTTGCATAGCAGGTACTTTTCCCACTAAACCATCTCCCCAGTCCCATTTTTTTTTGTTGAAATGTCTATTAAACTCTTGTGCCCATTTTTCATCTGTGTTACTTTGCATGCATGCACACATGTGTGTATGTGAATATTCATATGTGTGTATGTATATGGTGTTGAGAATCAAACTCAGGGCCTTAAGCATGCTAAGCAGGCATTTTGTCATTGAGCTTCATCCCCCGCATCCTGTTTTAAATTATTGAACCAGAATAGCTCTTTTAAAAAATATTTTATTTTTATTATTTTTATCTTTTGTGTATGAGTGTATTGATTGCATGTATTGATTGCATGTCATGCAATGCCTGTGGAGGTCAGAAGAGGGCATTGGATTCCCCTGGAACTGGAGTTATGGATGGTTGTTAGCTGCCAAGTAGGTGCTGGAAATCGAACTCAGGTCCTCTGCAAGACCAGACTTACTCTTAAACTGCTGAGCCATCTCTCCAGCCCCTCTAATAGTTCTTTATATTGGGGCTTGGAGAAATGGATCAGCAGTTAAGAACACTTATTGCTCTTCCAGAGGACCTGAGTTTGGTCCCTAGCACTCACATGGCGGCTAACACGTCCTTAATTCCAGTTTCAGGGGTTCTGACCCCCTTTTCTGGCCTCCGTAGACACCAGACACACATGATGTACTTGCATACATGCAGTCAAGACATTCATTCACATGAACTAAAAATAAAATCTTAAAAAAAATAGTTCTTTATATTCTGGATACATATTCTTTAATCAGACTTAAGATTTTAAATACTTTCTCAGTTTGTGACTTATGTTTTCATTTTTTAAATGGTGTTGTAAAAAAGATTTATTTTTATTTTATGTTTGTGTTTTGCCTGTATTTATGGGTATGTACCATGTGTGTGCCTGGTGTCTATGGAGACCAGAAGAGGGCGTTGGAGCCCCTGGACTGGAATTACAGCCAGTTGTAAGTCAGTTTGTGGGTTCTGTGAACTGAACCTGGGTTTTCTGCAAAAGAGGCGAGTGCCCTTAACTGCTGAGCCATCTCTTTACCCCCTTAAATGGTGGTTTCTGAAACATAAAAGTTTTCAATTTTGATCAAGCCCAATTTATTAGTTATTTTCTCCTTTCTTTGGTTTCATATTTAAGAAATTTTATCTCAGACATGTTTTAGCTATTTTTAAAGACATGCTTTGAGTTTTTGTTTGTTTTTAAAAAATATTTTTATTTCATGTGCATGAATGCATTGCCTGCATGTATGTAAGTGCACCTTACATGCATCTATGGTCATGCAATGACCCTGGGGGTTAGACGAGGGCATCTGATCCCCTAGAACTGGAGTTATGGACAGTTCTTAACCCAGGTCCTCTGCAAGCTCTGCTCCTCTGCAAGTAGTGCTCCTTTGCAAGGAGCCAGTGCTCTTAATCGCTGAGGTATCTCTCCAGCTCCGTTTGCTTTTTTTTTTTTTTTTTTGAGACAGGGTCTCCTTATGGCCCCAGCTGGCTTGGAACTCACTATGTAGACCAGGCTGCCCTCAATCTCACAGAGATTTACCTGCCTTTCTTTCCCAAATGCTGGGATTAAAGGCATGTACCACCACGTCCAGTGAAAGACATATTTTAAAATTGCCCCCGCCTCACTTTTCAATGTGCCTTAGACATATTTCTAAGTCATTACATACAGATCTGTGACATCATTTGGGGGGGGGGGGCTTCGATTTGGGAAAAGAAAGGAGACAACAGGGCAGTGTTTACAAAATACCCAGTAGGAGCCAGCCCTGTAGAATTATAGTATAGGTCTATAATCCCAGCTACAGGAAGGCTAAGACAGAAGGATCAAAAGTTCAAGGCCTGCCAGGACCGCAGAATGAGTTCAAGGTCATCTTGGGCATCTTAGTGAGACTCTGTCTTAAAATTAAGGAACAATATATTCTAAAATGAAATGGAGATCTTTTTTAAAGTTTAAAACCTCATTTAATTTTATGTCTTACAGGGTTTACACTGAGTACAATATTGTATAACTGTAATAATTCATCTGTATACCTAAAAACTTACTGCCAATTTTGAAAGAGATACATCTTAGCTCTGGAAATTGTTATTGAATATGTCAATGCTTTTGTAATGAAATGCTTCTTCTAAGTATGTGGTTAATAAATAATTAAAAATTACAAGGGCTGGGGAGGTCGCTTAATGGTAGTGCACTTGCCTAGAACACACAAGAACCTGGGTTCTACCACCAGTATTGTAAAAATATTTAAATGCATTAACTAAATCCAAAAGGACTGTTCTTGAGTCCCTCCTATTTTCTGCACTGGGGATTAAATCCATTGCCTCAGGCAGTTAGGCTATACTCGCAGCCCTCCCCTATCTTCTTTCTAAAATTTTACAGCCAATTTTGAAAGAGATGCATCTTAGCTCAGGAAATCGTTATTGAATATGTCAATGCTTTTGCAATGAAATGCTTCTTCTAAGTATGTGGTTAATAAATAATTAAAAAAAAATACAACGGCTGGGGAAGTCATTTAACGGTAGTGCACTTGCCTAGCACACACAAGAACCTGGGTTCTACCACCAGTATTGTAAAAATATTTAAATGCATTAACTAAATCCAGAAGGACTGTTTGTTCTTGAGTCCCCCCTATTTTCTGCACTGGGGATTAAACCCATTGCCTCAGGCAGTTAGGCAAGCAGGCTACCACTGAGCTATACTCCCAGCCCTCCCCTATCTTCTTTGTGGATCTTTCCTGCCAGGTAAACAAAAACTTCATTTGCTATTAATTTATTCATAACCTTTTAGGTTTCAAGGTCTTGGATATATCCCTTCCGAGTCCCAAATTTTCTGTAGCGTTAAGCCCCTGCATCACAGACTCCTTGTAATTTGGGATTTGACAGCAGCTTCTTCTTGCATTTATTTCATTTTCTAAAGCTGGATCAGGCTTCGGGAATGATTCAGCTTCAGTTTATCTATCAAAATGTAAATAATAAAAGTCTGAGGCTGGAGAGATGGCTCAGCAATTAAAAGTACTGGTTGCTCTTGCAGAGGACCAGGGTTCAGTTCCCAGTAGTCCCATGGCAGCTAACACTCACCCCTCTGTAACTCTAGTTCCTGATGATCTGACATCTTCTGGCCTCTGAAGATACTGCATGTACTTACTTGCAGGCAAAACATTCATAAACATAAAAAAAAATTAAATGTAAATAATAAAAGTAAATGGTGGCTAACAGCAGTTGGCATGTTTTAAATTTAATTAACTAATTTTGTGTTCTGGGGATTGAACCTACAGCCAGACAAAAGACTCTTACCACTGAGTTACATCCCCAGCTCTCTTTTTACTTTTTATTTTGAGCTGGTCCCACTAAGTTGCCCAGGCTAGCCTTGAGCTCATTTTGTAGTGCAGGCAGGCCTTAAACTTGAAATCCTCCTGCATCAACCTTCAGTAGAGGCCTGTGTCAGCAAGTCTGGCTGTCATGTGTATTTCAGTGAGAGATTTTTAAGGGACAGGTTTGCTATGCAAGTACAGAGAGAAGACAGGCAGGCACCCAAGATGGGAACCTTGAAAAAGGCTGGATTTGTTTATTTTTGAGGTATACTTACCTACAATAACAGATCTTAGCATGGAATGGGTTTTTGATAAATGCCTCAGTCTGTGTGATCCCTCTTCCAAATTCAGTTTTTTTCAAGTTTTTGTTTTCATTTTTAAAAATTTTTTGAGGTAGGGTCTCAATCCTTAGTCCATGCTGGACCTTAAACTCAGGCTCCTAGTCTCTGTCAAGGTGTAGGGATTACTACTTTAGGCTATGCTGCCTGGCTCTGAGTTCAAGTTTTTTTTTTTTTTTTAAATTACTTCTATTTATTTATTTTTTCGGTCTTTGAGAGAGGGTCTCCCTGTAGCCCCAGCTGTCCTGGAAATCACTTTTCAGTCCAGGCTGGCCTTGAACTCACAGAGATCCGTGCCCGCCTTTGCCTCCAGAGTGCTGGAATTAAAGGCAAGAGCCACCAAAAGCCTGGCTTTGTTTCTTTGTTTTTAGTGGCAGGCTTTCTGTCGCTCTGGCTGGCCTGAAATTCACTGTGTAGCCTAGACTGGCCTCAAACTAGAGGTGATTTTCCTGCCTCAGCCTTCCAGGTGCTGACAGATTTTTTTATTTTTTTTATTTTTTTTAAAACCACCACCAAACGCCTGAGATCCACAGGTCCGCAAAATCCTAAAAGAAGTTACCTCAAAGGCAGAATCAATTTGGTTCTGCAGGAGACAAAACGAAGGCTAGAACTATATCGGCTGTAAAGTTGTTTGAAGCCAGGTGGTAGGTAGATCCTGGGAGCAGATAGACTGAGGCGATGGCAGGCATAAAGTCCCAGCCTTTGGGGGAGGGGGGGGCTTGAGCCCCATACACTGAGCATGTGTTTTGCCTACATCAAGCAAAGCCGGCTTTTCTCAGACTTTCAACCTTTCTCTTAAAAGGGAGTGGGGGATGGGGGAACACCACTTTCGGAGTTGGCTGCTGCCAGTCTCCGCTATCTACTTTGAAAAATGCACCTCACTGGGGGGTAAGCTTGGGGGAAGGGAGGTAGCCGACCCCACGGGTGGTCTACCTCCTGCGAGCAACAAGCTCGGCTCAGCTAGCTTCCTCGTGCAAGGAGCTCAGGTAGAGAGCTTGAGCTCTGCACATCCCTGAGATTGTAGCAATTCTGCAACAACGCCCTAGGTGCGTGCAGCTGGTGCAAGCTTGCACACAGAGGGAGCTCAGTGGTTGGAGCTGGGGGAAAGTGGGCGTGGCCTCGAAGTATCCAAAAGTTCTGACCTAGGCGCCCGAGCCCCAAAAGATACAACCCCCTCCCCACTTCCCAGAAGTCTTGACGCTGCATGTCTGGAGCTCGACACTTGGACTGCACGTCCACCCGGAGCATACCCTTCGTGGCCTCCTGCTAGCTGGGGTGCGTGGATCTACCAGAACGAGACGCAGTCGGAGCCCCGGAGGCAGCATGCCCAACGACGATGCCTTCAGCAAGCCCTCTGCACCCGAGGTGCCGCACGCTCCCGGTGCACCCCTGCAGGGCAAGGCCGGCTATGACAAAGCAGCTGGGGCGCTGCTGGGGACGGCTTGGGGTGCCGGAGGCAGCGGAGGCGCGTGGGGCTCTGGGAACAAGAAGTCCCCAAGGCTGCGCAAGTGAGCTCGCTGCAGAAACCACGGCTACGCGTCCCCGCTCAAGGGCCGCAAGCGCTTCTGCGAGTGGCTGGACTGCCAGTGCAAGAAGTGCATTGCCTAGAGACAGCATGTGATGGCCGCACAGGTGAGTGCGGGTGTCCGGGAAGCGCGGTTCGGCTCCCAGCCTTACAAACTTAGCCCTCCGGATGGCCGGAGTCCGGAATCCGGGGGTAGGGAGGGACCGCGGGGCAGACGGAGGCACTGCGGACGGGACTAAGGGACCGCGGGGGTGGGGGGAGGAAGGAGGGACAGTCCGGGGCTGGAGGGATGGAAGGACCTCCGGGCGGACGGCGGGACCGAGGGGAGAACTCGGGCGGGCGGCGGTCGGGGGGACTATAAAGGGACCCAAGGCCCTCCGGACGGACGGAGGGACCGAGGGGAGAACTCGGACGGGCGGGGGTGGGGGGACTGTAAGGGGACCCAGGGGAAGGCCGGAGGGACCGCTGGGGTACGGGGGTGGAGGACTACGAACGGACTGCCAAGGGACGGAGGGGCCGAGGGGAGGATGGAGGGACCGCGGGCGACGGAAGGACTGAGGTGGGGACAGTGGAACCGCCGACAGACGCCAGAGGCGCGCGCTCCGGCTGGGACTTTGGTCACGGAAGGAGGCTGGTGTGGGATGGCTAGCGACGCCTTGGGAGCCCTACTTGACTAAGTGAAAACAGGATTCACGCCCCTTGAGTCCCCAGGATACGGGCGGCGGAGATGCCGGGTTGAGGCGATCCGCATAGGTCCATCCTCGCTCTCCTCGAGGCTGCGGAGTTCTCTCCGCTCTGAGCGCGCCCTGCAGTTGAGTTTCGGGGTTCTCCCTGACGTTGGACCCCACCGTCTCCAACGATGCTCTGCGAACAGAGTTGCGAGGGTCCTAGACTCAGGGGTCCCCACAACCCTGGCCTTGGAAGAGGAAATGTGCGGGCGTCCCTACATCCTTTCCAGCAAACTTGAGCGATTCACTTTGCTGGGAGGACTCGCTACCCCGAACGCTAGCCCTAAGCTGAGAATTGTGGGGTTCGTTTTGATGGAGGGGCTCCCCACTACCCCGAATGCCCGAATCAAGCTGAAAGTTGCGGGGTTCGTTCCACCTGGAGGGCTCCCGGTGACCTCAAGTCCCGGTTCCCAGCTGAGCGTTGCGGGGCTCGCGCTGATGGAAGGGCTTCCCATGACCCTGAATCCTCGACCCAAGCTGATGGCTGCAAGGTTTGCTCTGCTAGGAGGGTTCCCCACAATCCCGGCCCGGTTCAGGCTGGGAATTGTGGGGTTCTCTCTGCCTGGGCTCAAGGAAGGTCCCAAAGAGCGTAGTTCGGGCGACTATGGTAGGCTAAGGGGAGGCGCGACCCTTGGGACCGGGTTTTTTTGTTTTGTGGTTTTTTTTCCACTCCAGCGGCCCCAGAGCGTGGCGGTCCCGGGTCTTCCTAGAAAATTCCTTGGGACCGACGCCTACGCTGCATGGTCCCGCAGTTCT